ATGCGACGACGACGGCGGCGCCGACGACGACGCCGACGACGACGACACCGACGACGACGACGACTTTTATGTTGACTTTGGTGACGACAGCGACGACGACGACGACGAAAACGACGACGACGACGACGACGACTACGACGACGCCGTCGTTGACGACGACGGCGCTGACCACGGTGACGCCAAAGGACCGAGAAGAACCGATGAGAACGACGACGACGACGACGACGACGACGACGACGACGACGCCAATGGCTCACTGCGCGGGTCCCCGCCACGCGCGCCGCCGCCAGCCAACACGCCGCCGCCCAGCCGCCCATCGCGCCAGCGAGGACGGGGGGCGGGGAAGGACGGCCAGGAGGACGAGGACAGGGAGGGGGGGGGTCTGGAGGACGAGGAGGCCGAGAAGGAGGGGGAGGAGGAGGAGGAGGACGAGGAGGACAAGAAAAGAGGAGAAGGCGGCGACGCGGCAAAGCTGTAACGGGCCAAATCGAACGAAGCCCCGACAACGCAACAATCGAAACAAAAATATTTCAATTTGCGTGGCCTACCGTACGCAGTAATCAACCACGAGCTGTGGCCCCCACGGTGGGAGCTCCGACTGATGCGTCGCTCAACCATGGCACAACGACAGTGAAAGTTGATTAGGGCCAGGGCGGCCTCCAGAGGCCAGGACGGACCAAGGTCAAAAAAACAAACTACTTGGAGGGCTTGCCCGTGGCCAGTCTTACAAGTTCTTTGAAACTGAACTGGCGGGGCGGCGCAGGAGGAGGAGGAGGAGAAGGAAGAAAAGGAGGAGGAGGACGGAGCGGGGCCAGGGCAGCGGCAGCGCGGCACGGTGCCTCCACCTCGCGCAACCTCTCAATGCACGCCGTCGATGCTGAAGTTGCGGCCGGTGTGCGTGGAGCAGGGTGTAGCCCTCAATCAAAGTCATTTTCGAAGCTGGTGCCGATGCGTGGAGCACGGTGCAGCCCTCAACCACATACAGTCTCGACCTTGACGCCGATGTGCGGGGCAGGGGCCGTCAACCACATCCAGACTTGAAACCGACGCCGATGCATGGAACAGGGAAGAGCCCTCAAGCACATTCAACGCAGAAGAAAGAGCGCCACCAGCGCCTCTAGAAACCACGTCGTCGCCAAATCCTGCTCCCGTAGAGCCCCCCATCAACCACAGCCAGCGTAGAAGAAAGGGCGACTCCAGCGCCACGACAAGCCACGTCGTCACCAAAATCTGTTCTGCGGGCGATCGGCCGTTGCGAATCACCAATCACATTCAGTTCGTGCCGCTCCCGCTGCGCAGGGCGCCGTCGCCTGCCACTGGCAGCGGGCCTGGACGGGCTGCCGCCCCGAATGTGCGGCCCGAGTGGCGCCCCGAATGCGCGACCCGGGCGTTGCTCCGACTGTGCAACCCGACCCGTTCCAGACCCGCCCTCGGTCACATCATCCTCAGACCAGTCTATGGCATGCCGTCCTCGTCGTTGATCGCCAGCGGCAAGCTTTTCTCAACGTTCGACCTCGGGGCGAACACCTCCCCTTCTGGAAGTTCCCCTCCCCCCCCCCCCCCTTTTTCGCCTCCCCCCTGGAGCTACCCCCCCCCCCTCTCGCAACTCTGAAGCTACCCCCCTCCCCCATTTTCCAAAGGGACGGGGGGGCTTAGCCACCCCCCCCCCCCCCCCACACGTCCCCTTGACCCCCCTGTGCTGGAAGCTACCCCCCCCGTTCCCTTTGGTTCTAAAAAGGGGTGAGCTTAGCAGCCAACACCACCCCCCTCTTTTTCGGCACCCGGGAAAGATACCCCCCCCCCCCCCCACACCCCCCCCCCCCCCCCTCCCCCTCTTACGAAATGGAGGGGGGTCTTAGTTCCCCACTCCTTCTAGATTCTTTTTCCTGGCGACGGCTCAAGCCAATGCGACTTCTGCTGCGGACTGGAACTACCAGTCCAACTCCAATTCCAATCGATCTCAATCAAATGCTTTGGGACTTGACTTAGAAATCTTCGGTTGGGTTGGAAATGGAGTGGCCTTGGGGCATGTGAGCGCCCAGCAAAATCAAAGCTAAACGGCTATGGAAATGGTAATAATGGTGAACCCGCCTACCTGCCCCGAACACCTACCAAATGAATTAAACGAACTCTTATGATACGAACCTGGGGGATTTCGCATCATGCATGCTTGCGGAAAACTAACAGTACAGCTGAGCACAGCGCTCAGTATTTCTTCTGCCATTGCCTCATTAATTGATGGTGGTTTGGACGTGAATTCCACCAAGACACCCCGAAACGCACCTGTGAGCCTAGGGAATTGTTATGAGGGCCACGTTCCACGCATCCCACAGCTCCTGCATTAGGCGGGCAACCGGCGCCTTAAACAGAAGTGGGTGGTAAGGCAATTTCAACCAAATTCTCTGGACGGGGGCTGGGAGACCAAGCAGTGGTCTCCGACAGACTTTGGGAAGAGCTGCAAGTGGCACCCTCAGACCCGCCACATCTATTCCATTGGCCCCCACGTCGCCCAACCGCACTCGCATGGAAGACGACCGGCGCAGCAGGCGGGCGACTTCTGCTTTCGGCCACGCTGCGTGCACGCGCGGTGCGTGCGCAGAGGAAGGGGAGAGAGGGATCTTAATCTGTCCAGGCTTGGCATATGGTTCCCAAAACATGGAGCCAAGACTCGTTTGATGAATCGTGACGTCCAAAAAATTCACACTGGTGTAATCCATTTCCGCCATTTTGACTTCGTATACCCCAACACTTTCACGTCGCATGAAGGCCATAATGTTTACCCAGGCGTACCTGTCTTTTGCTATAAAGAATATGTCATCACGGTATCTTCCATAGAACAGCAAGCCCAAACGATTGCGATTACGCATCAAACTAAGTTCCACCAGTTCGGCGTAGTTTATGTCCACCACGTCCCCCGCACAAGGGAACCCCATTCCTGGTCCAGCTGTGACTTGCCAAAACGTATCGTCTAAGATCGGAGTGGTCACGTACTGGTTTGTCAACAAGCCATACAAAACATCATGATGACCCCCATTTTCGCACCCCCACACAGCTTTAGATACTCTCGTACACATACTGTCGTGATCACCGTTGAGGTAAAAATCCTTGATGTCAGCAGTGGCCAAGATAGCTCTACCATCTGTTTTGGTGCCTCGCAGTGCAGCTAAAAATGTATCTGCGCTGTCAAACACGTGCGGATAATGCTGTCGTGCATGTTCCCGGAGGCGCCCACTGTAAATTCTGCTTATTTCAGAAAATACGTGGCCAGCACAGCTGTGAATCACGCGGGGCCCTACTTCACCTGGGGGCTTGTGCGTCTTCACTGTGAATTGTAACCTACTAGCGCTATGCCTGGAGCCATTGTAGAATTGATGAACCAGGGCTTTCGCCAGATTCGGGTCGTCGAAATGTTCGCTTGCCTTTTTACAGCAGGATAGAAATACATGTTTTATATGCTCATTGTTGACCCACGCCACTTCGCTATAACAATCTTTTCGCATAGCTTTTTGGACGAGATCTTTCAAGGCCAACTCGGGGACAAGGCAATATCCACCGTGTTTGTCCGTCGGTAAAGCTACGTATGACGAGCGTCTGATCCACTCCATTCCGGCGCATACCCATCCTGGCATATTGCTGTGCGTCTTGGCGGTACCACGGTTACCCAATACAGTACGCATACAAAAGGTTAGAAACTTGCCAACGCATGGCTTTCAAAAAACTGTTCAACTCTTGTGGCACGTCCGTCAATGGATAATCTCGGGCACGACTTTTGCCAACGCATCTCCTCCACCACGGGATTTCTCCCCGAGCGCGTCGAAAATGCCATATCCATTTGACTCGGCTGGCAAGGTCTCTCAGCGCAATGTTTACATCACGCTGTCGAGGCCCATCCTTTCCAATAAAAATGTGTTTCCGCGCGTAGCAAGTTAAAAGAAGGACCACTGTAAATGGCAATTCAGCCACGTGGGGATTTCGCACAGACTTATCTTCCACTGCATAAACGCACACGTTTTTGACCAAACTCGTGTAGCCCAACAGCTTTCTCAAGGCAACCGCGTCCGCACCTTGGAGGAGGTTCCAGAAGGCACGGTCCACCTGCCAGCTTTCTTTGCTTACCTTCTTTTGCCCTTTCCTCCAAGTTTGCCTCCTTTGCATGCTTCGCTGTAACCTTTTTCCGTTGCCTTTCGGTCTGTCTTTCCGCCATGGGTTGTTCGGTTTGTCCATATGCCATGTGCCTTTGCCTTTGCCACGGCCTTTGCCATTATTGCCACGGCCCTTGCCTTTTGGCCGCTTCCAGATCCATTGCTTCGAACCTTTGCCATCGCCCTCCTGCTGCCGGTCCGTCGTAGCAGCAGGGGGCCTGCCATTTTTTGAA